GATGTGTATAAGAGACAGGGCTTATATGAGGCTTAAATATGAGCACTGTTATTATTTATATATTTGTGTATATTCATGTACAGTATTTGCCATAATGTCATTTCGCCTCCGGTAATTAATATAGAAATAAAATCTATGCATTTCGTTTTTTTAAGACTTGCTTTAATATAATGAATGGCCTATACATATAGGCCTAGGCCTTCGAATACGGTACATATACATACAAGTATTGATATTCGAGCGAACTCTCTTTTTTTCGTTTATCTATTTGTTTATACATTTGAATATACGGTACTGTATACAGAATGATTGATCTTGACAAAGACAGAAGCATATTCCTAGTTCGTAGATCATCGTAACATAGCGCCATGCACAACACTTACCTATTGTAGGACGGACATGACCGATTCAATGACATCAGTTTCTTATGACTCCAAACAATTCGATAACGAATCGATAAACCTTCTACCAAAATTCAGGCAAATAGTACCTCCATTTTTCAATGTTGTTTTAAGTATAATCCCTGTTGCTATCTCCTATTCATCTACTACACGTAATGTTGACCAAAAAATAATGCGTTTTGGCGGCTTCCTTCGACTTTGTAAGTCGGATGGTTTGTCAGTCGATACAATCCGTTCGAACCACATTCGGCCTCACACCGATCCCAAAAATATCATGAGCATGACACTGCTTATAAATTCATCACCGGCCGCCGGGGCTGATTAGTGAATAATTCACACGGCTAGCTACCAACGTTATCCTGCTGAAAACAATCTACTAACCAAAATAAGATGCACTATGCATCGATCCACTAGATTGCTATCAATAGATGATTTAAGAAGACCTTATGCTGTCTACTAAGGTACAGTACTTTGTATTTGGAGCTGTCACTAAGCATCGTGACGTCACGACCAATACGATAACGCTGTTTTAATTTGTGCGCTTAAACAATGAAGTTGGTAAAGCGAATCGGTATATTGTTGTACAACAATATCAGTGGTAGCGAGCCATCTTTTTATTTGATGCGCAATACTGTATAGAATATATACCAATAATTATCATCATCAGTTTATCCATGGAGCTATGGTTTGTCTTTTCACGTTTCTTCCGCCGAGAGTTCACACACGCATCCATCGTCTCATGCTTTAGGCCTATGCATTTGGTGTTGAATTTACCGACATGAATGCGACTATTCGTGACAATGGACCATTTGTTTTACCATTTACACCACTGGCCATTCACCCCATTATATAGGCCTAACGACACTAAGCAGAAAAAATAATACATAAAAAAAAGAAAAAAAAGAAAAAAAAATACAAAACCACACAAGGTATGGTTTTACAGATAACGCCTATAAAATGAAACATGTTGCATGGTTTGGTTTCCAGGGTTCAAATCAGAAGCAAATCATTCACATACCACCACCAGGTGGCGAATCCAGGATATTTTGCCGGGGTGGCAGAAGTGCAATCAATGGCCTATTATCTGAGGGGCGGGATCATGGTTCGATGGGGGCGGGTTGGGATGTTCACTAATGCCGGGGATATCCCCTCTGGAGACTCCGGATTTTTTTCCATTGTAATAGGCCTATATTATCAAAATGATTTCACGCTTGGTTAGAGATTTTTCTGGCCGTTGGGCTTTGGGGTGGGTGTGAAACAAACGCCCCTTTTCCACCCTTGGTTCTCCAGGATTTGAGAGGCAAGCGTTAATGAAGTTTCTGGCGCATAAAAAAAAAGTTGTTTGAATGAAGTGGGTCATAAACTCAGGATCTCTAAAGCTCATAGTTGCCAACTTATACGGATTGACCGTGAGACTCACGGATAATTTATCATTTACCAGTTTTACTACGGATGAACAAAAACTCACGGATTTCAAGGTTACTCACGGAACAAGATTTTTAAACTAATAAACACTGATTTACGAATTGCATATACAGTAATATGCAATAAATAAATCATTTGCCATTCGTCTGTAGTGTTTATAGTGTTGTAAAGAGTAACCCGAGCACAGTACGCTCGACGTTACTAAATCGTAAACAAACGACGCCCTTTACGCCCGCTACCGTCAGTTCCGTCTTTTTTTTTTTTTTATCTGTTTTTCCGTTTTATCGTCTAACGCTCACATGGAGCGTAGTTGGATCCATCGGCTGACGGTCGTACGACCGCCGTACGACGCACTGAGTGAGTACCTAGCTTTAAGCATAGAGAAATGCATTACAGGCTCGAATGCCAATGCAATGTTACTAGCTGGAACATGGTACTCCCACAAAGTAGCTGAGGAGAATGTGTTCTATTAGTTTCTGATCCAATGATCCATGGTATGTATGTGCAGCACATAACCGGACATTATAACTATTATTAGTCCTATTACATGCGTTTTCTTGTCCCCAAGTCAACTTGGCCCCATGTCATCTCAGCCCAAAGTCAACTGGGCCCCAACTTAACTCGGCCCTGAGTCAACTCGACTCCCATGAATCTTAAGCCTGGTTTTCATAAAAAAAAAAAAACGTTACACGCTATCAGTGGCGACAGCTTTCAACGATACTGATTGGTTGGTATCGTATACTGTACCCAGTGTAACGATTGCAGTGAAGATGTTTGTACCGACAGTGTAGCGATTTTATGGAAACTTTGCTTTGCAGTACCTTTACAAGATTACAAGCCCATGAAGAGTTAGGCCTATGATCATGGAAAGATTAAGTCTTAATATTATAGACTACGTATGCAAACTAAAAAAATGAAACTCATTTCTCATAGGTTCACAAATGTTATGAGCTGTTTGTTGATTTACATGGACTCCTTTCGCACCAGAGGGCACATCGTCGCCGAGATGCTCATTCGTCGTAAACGACGAGAGACGCCATACATACATGATTTATATCAATACTGAAAGTAATATGGAATATCACCTCCTTGGATATAGGCCTATATCGATTGGTATCATAAACAATGTCTACTATTAGCTGTTGGCTTAATACAAAAGATGTCTGTACGTCATACATTATGCGGAGTATAGATTTTACATTGTTTAATTTATTGGCCCGTTTAAATCACATTTGAAACCAAGTGACGTAATGTTATAACTCAAAACAGTGCTATCGATACTGAAGTAACATAAATGAGAGAGTCGAAGATGCATTAGGTAATGTAATCATACGGCATAGGTTACACCGTACATCACCAAACACAAAACTGTAGGAGCAGTAGGCCTATATTGGAAAAGGGTATTATCTTGGATGACTCAACAGTGGGTCAAACCATGGAGGAATAAATTTTATTCCTCCATGGTCAAACACAGGATAGACTAATATCAACTGACGTTCAAGAAAATTCAGATTAAGGCAAAAAAAAATACACAATAGAAAATAATTAAATTGCTGTAAAATAAGAACATTAAATTTGCCTTAAAACATATTAGAAAACACGACGAGATCTTTTAGGGGAAATTCGGACTTGAAAAGGAATAGGCCTATAATATGATTTTTGGATCTTATAGAAGAAGCAAATAAAATAAATATGTTGGTGTATGGGTACATGGGTTTATGAATATACGAACTAGAGCTGTTCCACTACGAATGTGCAAAATAGTTTCATTATCTTTTTAAAAATTATATTCTTCGAGATCTTGTCTTGTCGTTTGAATAAGGGCGTATCACATTTATCTCTTTTTCATGTGTGTGAGTTTCTAGTGATGTCCGCATATAGGCATATAGATAGAGTGAAATGAATTTTCTCAATCGGAGTCAAATTCCCAACAAAAGTCCCAATGGCCCAGTTGATTAGGACGTCTGTATATATAACAAAATCACAAGTTGGTAAATTATTCCACACTCTAATAAACATCAAGAGGTTTTGTGTGTGTTTTAGTACGAGAAGTATGTGTGGATTTATTTAAAAAAAAAAACTCTCTTTGGGAAACCCAATATTTTAACCTATCCTTGTCTTCATCTAGGCTGACGATGATAAAGGAATAGAATCCGAAATGTTTTTGAAGTCCACACATATTGTATTAATATCTTTCCACACACCCGGCAACACAAATGCATAATGTATAAAACATACATTTTAAACGTTAAAGAAGAGGTATCTGCGAATGAAAAAAAGTTTCACCAACTGGGATTCGAACCCACCTTCTTTGTCTAGGCAGACGCCTTAACCAAAAGCATTGGTGCTTCGTTTGAATTCAAATAAGATTAAAACAACTAAAGCACTCTTGCACATGCGCAGTTGGACAGAACTAGTCTTTGATGCATCGCAAATAACAGTGTTCGTTATCTCTTTATTATGCCTATTAGATATGTACTTATTAATACAATTAATGATGACCTGTTTCTTTTATGATCCTCTCTTGTCGCCTTAACTGCTTAAGATAAGGGCGTATGGATGTCTGTCAAGCGTGAGTGTTAAGAAAACTAATGGTTCTGGTTCTGATGGGTAAAACACTCCCTGGCAACGGCGCCGGAAAAAGTGGGGGAGGGGGTGCAAAGCTTCCCGGAAGCTATAGATATTTGAAAAAGTTTGGTGAATTTTATTAGTTATTTTATAGGCTACTGTAATATGACTTCATAATTGTTGTAATTTCCAGTATTGGATCCAGGAATTCGAAATAGAGGGGGCTCGGTGGCGGGCTGTACTACCTCAGCTTCACTCCTTGGTTCTGAGGTAAGAAAATTTGTGATTATGGCACCTCCAGATGGCCGGAAAATGCACTTCCAGACATAAAATTTGAATATAATTTTCTTTAATATATCGCAATTTTTTTATTGGACAATTTACCGTAACCGTTAAGGAGACTTTATTCCAAAAATAATTCTTAAATGTTCTAAAATTAACTTGGCACAAAAAAAAAATCATATAATTAGGCTCCTAGAAACCTTTTTGTCTTCCAAAATAATTTTTAAATTTGCTGGAGAGACAGGACATTCAAGTTTGTAACTGAACGATCTAGGTTTGGTAGATTCCTTTAATGCTTCTATTAGACCATAATACTCAATAGTTATTTTATAGACACCAAGCTACTGTAATATGACTTATAGAGAATATGTAATAGAGGGGAGTCCAGGGGGATAATGGTCTCTTATAC